TAATCCCTCCTTACCTCCATCCCTCGTGAGCTACTGTTGAGGTGTCGCACTCTGATGCAGACAGTTACGGGGCTCACTTTTCTTTTCTCTTCAAGAATCACATAAGAACAACTGCGAAACTTTAAGTGTCCAACCCGTAGCGCGCTTTATGCATAGCACGCACTTACCAACTCTGTGCTTTTCATTTTGAAGCGCCCGCGCCACCCAGCGGCTAACGTGGGTCTCGTGCACCGAGCAGGCCGCGGGAACGCCCAAGCCGCCGAACGCTGCTGAAACCCGGGGTCACTACGTCGTCGTTGTCGGCTCGAGTAGCACGCAGTGGTACGGTGCATCGAGGAGAACGGCGACTGCCAGCCGGTTCAAGGCCAAATCGCACACCTAGGGACCCGTTTAGGGCACGTCCTGGAACTGGCGGGTTCACGTACTCTCGCTGGCACCCGCACGCATAGGAGCCGTCAGTCAAAAAGATGAACTTGTAATTACCCTGCGAAACGTGTTCGAACGCCGTAATTTAGTTGTACTCAAACACACAAGCGAAATGTAATATTTATATTATCAGGCCTTATAAAAATTGCCCAGGTGAGTAGTACTCACATTGTTCCCTTCAGCACCGTTAAAATGCGGTACGTTGTTGAAAACGAAGTCAGTCTACTGTAAGCACAGTAAGTCATATTCCACAATGACGACGTTTTGCCACAAAGGTGCTAACACACCAAAGCCCCAGAGTCAAGGTCTTCTTCCACTTCTTCTACTGGACCCCGTGAATAGCGCTTGTGATATACCACCAACATTGTGCTTTCAACACACTACTACGTCAGTTAGATAGCATCGCGATCTGCAGCAACAGCTCTAAACGCGTCAGCTCGACTTGATCGCTAGCAATCAATGTCGCTGCACGAAGTGGCAAGTTCAACTAAATTCCGCTTTCTTTGCACTGTTTTACTGCTTAAGAAGTCGCATTTATCGCAATGATAGAGACACGTAATTCCAAGTTTCTAAGAATTACTTCTTCATGTAGGGCCACGTAACCAATCAGTGCCCATAACTCCGAGGTCGCGCAATGAATCAGTTTATTCGCCTCATCGGAAAAAAAATTAGGTAAATGCTCAAGCGAGTTATAGGGGAATCCGAACGCGAGGCAGGTAAGCGAGCAAGAGAGAATGACATGGCGGGCCACGATGAATGAAAAGGCCACGCATGCTGTAAATCACACTTTTTATTCGGAAGTGCCTGTCTTTAAAGTCTATGCGAAAGGAAACAAGCTCCTAACACGAGATGCCATCAGATTACCTAAACCCTCACTACTCACAACACAACGAGCAGCTTTGCTGCGGTAACTGGCCGTCAGCCGCGCAGAAACGCTCCTATTATGTCAACAAGAAAGCTGACGGGATTTGTTATTTCTCTCACTTGCGCATGGGGAATCTTTCTGTGAGCGTTTAGGAGACTCTCCCTTACCCTTATACAATTGATCCTGAAGCTAATTGCCATAAAGTCATTTAGGATACTAGAAAACAGCGTCTTGCCATGGCGGTGTCCAGCGATCTTTTCACGGGCCAGGCACTGGTAGACCTCGAGCAGCGCGAGCAATCAAATGCGTGTGCTACTTCCGTTCTTTTTCTTTGTTTGGTGGTAGATCTCGGAAACAGGAACGTATTTAAACAAAGGTGGTTACTGATAACACAGCGATGCGTTTTTTTTCTGTAAAACAACTTTTGAAGAATTCAAAGTCTCGTATACATAAAATAATGTAAACCATTTCTTTCGCGTTTTTATAATGATGATAGTCGCTGCTATTGACAACAATTTAAATTATCCTTTCAATTTAACATAAGAATGGCAGCATATCCACGGAGTGAATGATGGAGAGTGGGGCGAAGCATTCGTCTGTTCATTCGTTCTTGCTTCCATCCGTCCATGTGTCCATCTGTGGGACCGTCCATGCGTCCATCCGCCCATCCGTGCGTGCGTCTGTTCGTGCGTGCGTCCCTGTGTTCGTCCATGCATCTGCCCCTGCGTCCGTTCATGCGTCCATTCATGCATCTGTCTGTGTGTCCGTTCGTCCATCTATTCAACACTTCAAGTACCACAATCTCGCATCTTTGCATCATATATTCCCCATATAAAAGCCCCGCCATCCAGCGGACATTCCAAGGACTAAACGAGAGGTGGCACACGCACACTTTCTTACGGCTTGGGCTTCGTATCTACTTCCCACCTTTAACCACCTTGAGTTCATGGTATATACTAGTTCATTGTATTCATGGCACTGCGGCTCAACGCTCGCTAAACCTTTCTAAAACCAAGGAGGTTACGCCCAGCGAGTATAACGTAGCAACCTTTTCCTGTCAGATAGTGCTCAATGTACATGCCAATGGCTGCTAATGGGAAATGAGAGACAGGAGAATTCGGCTTTGACTTTCTTACGGCTTGCGCTTCGTATCTACTTCCCAACTTTAACCACCTTGAGTTCATGGTATACACTAGTTCATTGTATTCATGGCACTGCGGCTCAACGCTCGCTAAACCTTTCTAAAACCAAGGTGGTTACGCCCAGCGAGTATAACGTAGCAACCTTTTCCTGTCAGATAGTGCTCAAGGTGCATGCCAATGGCTGCTAATAAAAAAATGAGAGACAGGAGCATTCGGCTTTTAGTTAACGCGCACGCCGCGAACGATTTATTGTTCAACAAAGCACAGGAGAAATCTCCCACCGGCTCCACCTTGCAGGTCAAAATGTAACACTGGTTACACACTACGACTACGACAACGAGGGACGAACGGGTGCCGCTTTACAGAGCTTCGCCCCTAAAAAAAAATAAAAAAAGCGGTTCCCCTATCGATGTAATGGGTGCTGAAGCTGTGCATAGTACAACCGCTTGTTGACTACGTTACGCTGACTTTATTGTTGAGAGCACGTTGAATCACATTAAGTGCTTGCTGAATCGGCTTCCCTTTAACATATTTAATGCCTGAATTATGAAACTGCCAAGCAAAATATATATGGTTTTTATTTTCCAGCTTTATATAACAATCTTAAATGAAGGCATCTTTGAATTTTCTAAAATGCAACTTTAATGCATAATTTTATGTAGGTCGTGAGTTCTCCATATGCCACAGAAGCGGGTACCTTGCAAGAAAGAAACGCACATCGGAACTACGTAACATGTTGTGTGCCACCTCTTGAGTGCATACACACCAGATAAAATAAATGAAGATAACTCATCGCTGTTTAACAGACTATACTCCAATATACATCCGACAAATATATGCAAGATATACCATATTGAGGTTGCCACATCAAATCACACGCTCTGGGACTGCGCAAAGTGATATCCGCAAGGTGATAAATCCGGAACCCTTCCGCCGCGGTTGGCCGCTGCCCTGTGCAGCGGCGACCAACTCTGGGTCATCCAGCAGGCCAGCGAGGCGGCGGGCAGGCAAGGTCTTGACGTCCCCACGCGGGAAACCTAAGGCCAGATCGGCGAAAGCTCTGCCGGACTTCCAATAAAGTTGTTGCCAACCAATTAAACTCCTATGTCAACGAGGCAAGAAAAAAAACGAAGAAGTGAAAGCTGTTGCACGCGCTTCGCGTTTTCAGCCATTAGATCATTGGCACCCATCCCCCAGAGTGGGTAGGTGCCAATTATCCAAGGAGCATAATCATCATCAGCTCGAAAACAATCAGTTCTAGCTTCAACTACCGTAGAAGAGACAACGCTGAATGTTTCATGCTGAAAGATACATGCGTTATGAGTACTTGACAGCCGGTATTAAAGGTGGAACGCATTTTGTGACTTACTTGCTCGAATTTTTTCTGTATGCCGCCAATTCGCGACATCCGGCAGTAATGATATGTGGGGTTTAACTTCCCAATACCACCATATGATTATGAGAGACGCCGTAGTGGAGGGCTCCGGAAATTTCGACCTCCTGGGGTTCTTTATCGTGCACCCAAATCTGAGCACACGGGTCTCAGCATTTTCGCCGCAACCGCCGGATTGCAGCCGCTGCAGCCAGGATTCGGTCCCGCGACCTGCAGGTCAGCAGCCGAGTACCTTAGCCACTAGACCACCGCGGCGGGGCGACAACCGGCAGTAAAGAGATAAGTAAAATTGCCGCTTCAGTGACACAAGTGGTTGGAACGCAGCTGCTATACCTTGTTCTTTTCACATTCGAATTTAAGCACATAGAAGCAACACCCTTTGCCATTCGAACAACACTCTTGTGTAACAAAAAAAACTTGTACTTCAGTTTTTATTTCGACTTTTCAACAAGCGCTCGTACAGAAAGGCTTCTCAGTGGAATCGCTCACATTGGCGTAACCACTCTTCCACGTTTTCCGCGGCGAGAACTAAATAATCTGCTCGGACAATGCGCAGCCCAGATGTCACCGAACGCGATGCTATACAGAAGACATGCTACAGTTCACGAACGATAGATGCAATGAGGAAAGAAAAAAATAAAGTGAAGCTGGCGAAATTGTCTCTTAAGCGAGAATAAATATACAGCTTATACGACAAGAGCATGGGACATCTGCACGCTTAAAATTGTACCCGACAAAAAACTGTGTTCAGATGAAGTGATTGCAATCATTCATGACGTTTGAAAGAAACAAACAAACAAAGAACGATAACAGCATGGTTAAACAAACAACGCACGTTCATATTGTCTTTCATCGTCTTTTAAAAAGCCGAAAACAAAAAATTACATATTCACAATCGCCGATGCGTCGCCGATGCGATCACCAACAGAGGGCAGCTCGCAGACCCGTTAAGGCGTTAAAGCACTTAGGATTGCCTATTGACGACGTCGTGATACTACTGCACAAAGTGATGCTTTAACGCTTTGTGTTGGCGAAGTAATACTTTTCTACAGCCAGTGTAAATAAAACGTTGCATCATTTCTTTAAGCAGTTTGGAACCCGTTACATGAATACTCCGACCCATTACATTACGTTTCCTATACCCTTGGGCTTCCTATGTAATAGAGCCCAACCAGCCACACAATAGGTACAGCTACGTGGTGTGTCTATTGCACCACGATGCTACGCTGTAGTACCATAACGCTGATGTCGCGAATATTCTGCTTCACCTTGTCGTAGAGGCATCAAGGCGTACATATAACCCTAAAAAATAATATACCCGGCCACGGTGGTCATTTCGTCACGTTTTGTTCTTTTAGCTCTCTGGAAGTACTGAAATGCAGCAGTTTCGGATAGCTGCCTACTGAAAGTACTTCAACAGGTCAAGGTAGCTTGGTGAGCAGAACATCTTAGAGTGGCACGAAACACGGTTTGCTACCTCAATATGTCCTCCGAAAGTGTCACCGTGCACTGGCGGCCTTACAGGCATAGAAGTGATGAATGTTCGAAAATTGCACCTCTTCAGAACATAATTGCCTACAGAACATCATATGGATGTCCAATCTGCAATGTCCAATCTGCAAGCTGCAATCAAAAAGACTACCCGCACGCGGTATCCAATATGGCACAACTGTGACGCGTTCAAACGTTCGGCACTTGGGCACAGCCCGAGCTGGCGAGTCCAATCTTAAACAGGTACAAGGGCCGTAGTTACACGCTGGAGCGTATGACGCTGTCTGAGAGCACCAACACTGCCTCAAGTCCACAAGCACAGGTGTCAGACATGGGACGTCTTGAGGGACTCGGAGTCTCTCCGTTCACTCGTCCTGAGCACGCCGAGTGAAGAACGGCGTTTGCAGCGAGCTCGGGCTCCTCCACCGACGCTCACGTTTTCCGAGACGGCCTCGCCTTCCTCGGGACTCTCGGAGCATTTGGAAAGCGATGACGGAGAAAGCACGATGCGGTCGTCAGGTGAGTCGCCCGTCGTAAACACGAGGCTCACGCGACGGCCCTGAAAGGTGTGCAGGTAACGTGGCAGTTAACATCGCTATGCTCACACGTGATGAAGGGTATCAGGCTCGGGGAACATTTATTCAGTCGAGTGAAGCCTTTCACCGTATTAAAGACTGAATCTTCAACAAGGACAGCAGAAATAGCGTCTTTTCATCTCTTAGACTTCTCTTAAACTGCCTCTCAGAGTTTATAGATCAGTCAGCCCTGCCGTGAACATGAGACCGTTAAGCCAGCACTCCCCTATACTAATCTAACAACGTTCCTCCAGAATCTATCACAGGTACTTTAGTTTGTTTCATAATGAAGGATTTCCTCTATGTTGGTGAATGGCTCAGCTAAACCTTAACTGAGATAGCGTAACCGTGCTGTCGTATATCTGCGTTAATTGTATAATTTGTTGCCTAGTGCATATGTACTGTCTAGTCGAACCTAACTTATGTTAGTGCCTACTTGAACTGTGTTCTTTTGAATATGTATCTCCATTCTAATATGCTGTTTATTACTGCTATCTTTTAGTAGCCCTTGTATAGTTAATGTAGAGAACATATGCATTGTCTGATTCAACCTTACCTACGTACAAGCCTACTTGAAGATACCCCCTTTCCTGCAACAGGCTCAGATGTGAGGCTAGCAGTATCTCCAAATAATAATAATAATAATAATAATAATAATAATACCAAGCATATACGAAAGAACGGCCATACATGTTTGTATTTACATCGGTACACTCACATGCGATTCATCCTTCTTGGGAGCGTCCGATTGGTCCGAACTGGAGCTTTCCGACAGCTCATGCGTCGACGAGCTGGATGGAGACTGAGGAATCTGCTCCATGGAGCCGAGCTGCAGCTTCTTGCGCATTTGCGACATCTGCGGCGTGTAGAAGAAGATCTCGTCGCACCGCGGTGGCGGCATCAGTCGAGTCACGTTACTGTCCGTCAAGCTGTACGACTGGTCCTGCACAGAATGGGACGACCACTTGAGGTCTGGCAGAAGACGCCATTTTCATCACATTGATACACAACAGGCTGCATGAAAGAGGAGGACGAGGTTAGTTTTTGATTTGTTTTGTTACTCGTAACACTATTATGTGGTGTCCAAATAAAAGAAGCGCTCATTCTAAGGGAATGGAACGGAATGAAAAAACTTTATTTTAGCGCCGCCATCTGAGGCCACCAAGACCAAGCTGCCGGCCAAGTTCTAATAAAGTTTCCTCTCTCTCTTAGTCCTGCAGGACGCGCTTAGCGCGTAGCGGGCGTCTCCCTCGTAGGGACCGACAGGGAGTACCTGGCGGCTGCTTCGTGGGCCTGCTGGACGGCCCATTGCTGGTCGGCGAGAAGTGAGCTCCTGAGGGACCTCTCCCACTCGCTTGAGGGACACAAGCTTCTAAGGGACACAAACTTGAAATTGAGGAAACGCAGTGTCCGAGAACGCCATATGTAGGATACCTCTAATTAGAAGACACAGTAGCTTTCATCCGGAAATAGTCGGTAAGTACTCCATAATTTCCACGGTAGAATTTTTCCTTGTTGCTTTTAAGAATTTTAAGTTTGCGATGTGTATATAGAGCGCATCTATAGGTGGACGGCCACTCCAGGTAAACTTTCGGCACTGTTTTTCGTGTTGACAGCGCAGTCCATAGAAGCTCCCGGGGCAATAGCCGCGCCCTGATCGTTGCCGCGATAGCGTGGCAACCATAAGCGCCCCCCCTCCGTTCACTCACGAGATAAACGTGCGCCAAACGACCCCGGCCGGAAAGGCGATGTTCGCTCCGCAGAAAGACGAGGCTAGCCGCCGAAATCTCGATACGAGATGTCAAGTATTACAAAGTGCATTTTTCTATTTTTCGCATTTTCGCAGCATTGCCTCAACAAAACTTCCTGAAACTTACAAATCGGCCCTGCGGGATCTCGCAGAGTGGTGTAACTGTTAATAAAGGGATAACGACATTCACTTGAAACTTGGTATGTTCAGTTTCTGGGCATCTCATAGGTTAATTCATTTTTACCGTTTAGGAACCACGTAGGGCCTAACAGACGCCATCAAAATCCATCACGTCATGCCGATCGGTGCGGGAATTTCATTGTGGCGTCACCACCAGCTTTTTTTTCTTTTTTTGCGCCTTTCTCGCTTATTAACAGCCTTCTAGCAGCAAGTGTGGCGCTTTTGGTATCGTGAAACGGCAAGTTAATGATACGAGAAAAAAATGGTTCTCTCTTTAGTGTCCAATCAACGCGTGACAGACGTTGTAAGTTCGCTGTCTAGAGCTTGGAAACCTTGGTGCACAGCTGACTCGTGCTGGAGGAAGCGGCTCGTTTCACATCTGTACATACACGCACGTCACATCGGTGAGACACGGCAAATGAGAAAGAGAAAGGAGCAAAGCGTTCGCTTACGACGTCCGGAAACGAGAAGACGAGCTTGTTCGGGTGGGTGGCCCCTTTCACCTTGGGACTCTTCTCCGGGCAGACGACGAAACCGTACGGAATGTACAGCTGTCCTTGCTGGTTGGCCTCGTTCTTGCGAATGACGAGTATGCGCGGAGCCGGCGCGGCTTCTTTGCCAGCCTTGGCGTTCTTGTCTGCCTTCATCACCTTGGTGCACAGGGGCACGGGCTTCACCAAGCTCTTGAACTCCTGCGGCAGAGGGCACTTTCATTAGGACGCGGTGTTCTTCAAAGACAGTCCGATGAACGACGACGCGAAAGGAGCACGAACAATCTGCAAGGGCGCGCTCACTGCTTCCACGCTGCCGATATGAACCAAATCGTCTAAATAGAATATGATTCAATGATATCCACTAGGACTCGTTCGCACCTGCGACCTGCACCAGTCGCGCGGACAATTCGCGACTGGCGACCAAACCGTGGCTCTGAGCTGCTGACGTTCACACCTGCGTGCGACACGCAGAATTCACGTCAGCCCATGGCACTGCTAATGCCCCGCAGAATAAGCTTACGTCCTGTTCATGCGCATCTCACTGGTTCAAAGGTTTACGGCAGTAATAGCGCAACTGAGCTAAAGTAGTCGCTTTGCGACCAGCGCAACCATTTGGGTCCATCGGCGAGCTGTCGCTTCGCGACCAATTTGGTCGCGCAAACATTGCTATAGTCGCTTCGGCAAACGAGCCTTTACACACAAACGCTTATAGCGAAAGCTGTCACACATTACCGCCTCATAAGATTTAATGCTACGGTGAATTCGGCATGTTTGTGCCTCTTCTACTGTTTTCGTGCCTTCGGTTACGCTCTCTTGTCATTACATTCATTGGCGCAAGTTGCAGAAATTCAATGACCTAAATGAATTGGTAATCAATGAGTTGTTAATTAAGAATTCTAATTAGCTTAATGATATTTTCGCGACGTGATCGCCGAGGTCGTATTGAACAGGTAGTGTAAACAGTAGCAGGTCGGCCTTTTGTTTTTTACCACGATCCACAGTGTTCCTCTTCTTTCTCGTTACTGCCCTCTGCATAAAGCGTGCGAAATGCGCGTCTGCGCTCTCGTCTTCGTCCTACTCGTGGCACGCGCATGTGGCACTATTCACGCATGACTTGATGCCCAAAAGCACGACGTAGAAAGAAAGTCTGATAAAACGAATATTTGAAGTTCAATATTGCACAATTATCTAAATAATTGTAGAGCGTTTAAGCTAAAAAAGCCTGCCGGTGGTTGCGATTAAGGTTGGTTGATAAAGCTCCTTATTACTGATACTTTTCTATGCTACTTACAAAAACAAGGCTGACTCATCACTAAATAACTTTTTACGTCACTTACGTCCCATCGGTTTCCGTCCCTGTAGCAGCCCGTGTAGACGGTTTTGTAAATAACGTATCCCGGAATATGGCAGATGACTATAGCGAAGAGGGTCCACCCTAGTATGGGTCCCCAGAATGAGTTCTTGAAGAGGCCAGATGAAATGTCTGGACTTCCAAATATGGTGAACACCAATGTGACCTATAGCGATGGCCAAAAGGGGAAAAAAAAACAGAATAGTGAGCTGCGTTCATTCTGCAGTACGAATTAAGGAATTCATAAAAACAAACAATTATTTCGGACATATTTTATTGAAATTAAAAATCAATGACATGCTCTACCAATAGGCTACCAAAGACGAAGACACAACAAAGACTTGATGACACAGGCACCCTGTCAACAGTTTTTTTTTTTTTGTGTGTGTGTCTTTGTGTCTGTATGCTGTTTGACAAATATGCTTTACCAACATCCGTATTGGCACTTTCGCGAGAAATTTGCAGCGTATTCACCAAGCTGCATCTGCCGACGGGCAGAACAACGACATCAATACGATTGCCCTTGCCCATCTAAATGAATACACAAATAACAACGTAGCTGTGGCGAGATTACTTGTGAAATCAGAAATGCAATTATCTTCGACACAGCAGAGCACCAGTCAGCAAACTACATCTTTTGCACAAAAATCACCCACCAGAATAATACCAGGAGTGACGAATGACCAGATCACCATCCATCCTCTCCCGAGTGTTTGCTGAAGAATTGTGTCAACGTCTTCAGCAAACTGCTTGAATCCTGAAGCGAGAAAAGAAAATTAAAGAACATGAACACAGTGTCGCCTATAGCTGTCTGGAGTTTTTCTTTTATTTTTGCTTGCTTTTTGTATTTCATTTCACTGTTGTTACTGTTGTTCTGACACATTCTCGTATTATGTATGCCACCTTAGTTACCAAACTTAATGCAATTTATGCTTATCACTTTCAACCTCTTATATAATGTCCTCAGCCCTCCGGATATAATCACCTATTTAACCTTGAAGTAATATGAAATATGCATTTTGGGAGCCGGCAGAAACTTTCACCATTCCTATCTCTTTGTCTACATGGCTAGCCGCCTATGTCTAGTTGCAATTGTGTTTGCTTCGCTAACTTAGTGTATATCAAGTGCCGGCGCAGGATGGTATGACTTTATCACGAACACGACTGACAGGTCATGCATGACATGCGAAAACTCGCCATGCCTGTCACATACGTCATGAAACCCTTTCCCAATGTCGCGTGCGGCACATTCCCGCAACCACGGCCCATGGTATGCATGTATGCGCCACATGTGATTCCCAGTCTACGTGGACATTGAACACTACAGACAAACTTTGCGAGAATTAAACAATATATAACACTTGTCAGAGTTTGTTATGTTAACGTAAAACAGAGACTCTTACACATATACTCCTTTGTCCAACAATCTTAGCGAAGAACGGCAATAACACTGGTCATCCCCGAAGGAATTCACCTAAGTACGTTGCTTACACTTCATTTCGGTAAAAAATTACTTCTGTGCTGTAACGTGAGCACTAGTGTCGATTCAGACAATGAGCTACCCTATAGACGCCAGGGCATTCAACGCACCTCGTCAGCCCATTACATGCACACAACTCCTGAAATCGCACTAAGTAAATAATGTACATAATAAGACTTCATTCAAAGTGCGGCAGGCACTCCCTTCTTGAGTGATACATTACATCAATTCTCACAATACGTGGGATCTGCCAGAATCATTGTCAATGCCTAGAGACACATATTTACAGTAAAAACTAAAATTACTATTTGTAATACGTGTCGTAGGCATAAACAAAGTTGTACCAAGTATATCCCATAAATGCAGGAAAAGTTGAGCACATATGCTTACCATAGATCCAAGTTATGACGACGCATTCAAGGAAGCCCAGCATTAACGCCGTCCACGAGAACACATAAGCGTCCATCACCGCCAAGATGTGAATACCAGCCTATGTTGATGCGGAGAGAAACGCAGCGAAATGTATAAGCAGTCATCAAGTTTTACTTTTAAATTGAGCATGGCACATATTCGCCAGCTTTATTCAATGTTCGAAAACACGACATAAGAAATTCGATAGCCCAGGCCGTTTTAGCAATATTAGATATCTTACTCGCAAGCCGTTTTAGCAATACCAGATAGGCTATTAAGAACCCGACTGCTCACGGTCAGAAAAAAAAAAGAAAAATCATTAAAGATCCATTTGGCGTGAATCTGCTTCGAGAATGCATCCACTGATCCGACATGCGGTCAAAAAAAAAACCCGCTCTCAGTGCAAAGCAACAACGCGCAAAAGAAATCAGAGCGTACGTTATACGCAGAAAGCGGAAAAAGAACGCACCAGCAAATACCTGCGTCTTGTACGAACGCCCGACTATAGCATGTCCACTTCTACAGGCCTCAATTATGTTTCTGCCTGTAACTTCCCCCAAAATACTCGCCACGCTTTTGCTCTCCACTGAAAATGCCTATCCCCGCAAATAGAACACTTAGCTGAAGAAGAAAGGGTACCGCTGCAGTACCTTTTTACTGACTCTGAAGACATGTGCTCATCCCGCCAAGGCTCATGGTGCTACGATCGGCACTTGGGCGACAAGGGGTGCAGCGTTCCCTGTTCTTCAAACGAGTCGCCGAGGGGCTGACAGCCTGCTGAAAGCCTATTCCAGCCCGTGTATTGTCATTCCAAGCCGGTAAAGTGAGGCACCTCTGTACTCCGGCGTGGCAAGGTGTTCGACGAGGACGACCACAGTAGGTTTTGGTCGCGACAGCTTTTTTGAAGGGACAGCGGCGTCGTTGCGAATTACAAGCCATCCCGCTAATTGAACGTGGTGAGCGGCAATCCCTCTGATGCGTCAATCACCCAGCGGCCTTCCCCAGCCCCCATCACCCAGCGTCAATCATCTATCACCCAGCGGCCTTCCCACGCTATCGAAGGGACACTTTGGCGCCACAGGTTAAATGTCGGGACTGTAAGATAGGGAACGAACCGCCACCACCCTGGCGAAGCCCACCGTCGACCTATTCTTTATCAGTACACACTGATCTTATCCTAATGACGATACTGAAACTTGTCCGTGTCTACACAATATTCAACATCATCCGCCCCCAAAAAAAGACACATGATGACGAAGACCATGAAATACATACCGAGATTCTTACTAAACAGTACTTATAGTAGCCAGTAGTTATACGAGTTCCAAGTCAGTTCATATGGAACAATCCAGGTTTCCTCTTGCGCCGGCTCTTCCAGCAGTGTTTCCGACGGTTGTTCCAAATGCGTGCTTTTGAACTTGTTTCCCTCGATGGACTTTTGCTGTGGATGAGCAGTTTTAGTTCACATGAACAACAATGTTGCAGTCTCTTCCAGATGTTTTTTTTTCTGTAGCTCATTTGGGACAGTTTTTTTTTTTGTCCTGTTTTCGTTTACCTCAGAAGCGCCAGCCTTCTGCTTCTGTCTTGGTTTGGCCTCTCTCATTCGCAGCTGTGACTCTCTTTCAACATTCTTCGCGGAATTAAGATGTGTCATCCGCATTGCCCTCAACCTTGATGTTTGTAGCTTTCTAGGAGAAGAGAAATGAACTACAAGGGGCTTGCTTCTCTGTCCTCGCGGTCTTCCTTCTGCTTTCTCTCGCTTTAAGAAGTCGCCTTGTCTTGCTTCCGCCAGGCACTTGTACACATGGTAACGGTGACAGTGTTTTGTCGGAGCCGTCGTATTTGGCGTGATTTCGGCTTTAAAACCTGGAGGCTTGCCTTTGGGATCTTCAAAAGCTTTCCAATTTCCTATCCTAGAAATGCCTTCCGCTAACGACCAGCTGAGTTGTTGTAAATATCCTGTCATTAGCTTCATGAGTGCAACCCGTTGACGTTAATTGTAAAGTCGTAGAAAGTGTCCTTAGACCTTGAGGTTGTTCTTCTATGTTAATTTTTGAAATAGCATTCTCTACAATGGGAGTGCTAATATTTCTCCTTCCAATATCTATTTGTATTGAGGACAACTCATCGAGCTTCCATGCGGCAAGACTGCTATTTAGCACGTAATGGCTAGATGGTGGTGACGCAGGCAGAGAGAGCGCTTTTCCTTCTGCTCGTGTTATCATCCGTTGTTTCAGTGATTCCTCGGGAGCTAGTCGAAGTTTTAATACGTCTTCGATCTTATAATCATCTCTCACTTTCGCTTGAATAAACAGGTGAACATAGTCGTCCGCTTCCTCCATCTCATCTTCCAAATTATTAATGTTAACTGCATCCCTTACTTCTTTGTCGATTCTTCTGAGCTCATCGTACGGGTCAATCAAAATTTGATGAATACTTCGTAACTCACCTAATGATGGGCCATTCAGCTTCCAACTACGTTCCATGTCTGCGACGATCTGCGGGACGGCTTTTCGTACTCGACTTCACCTTTCGAAGAGGGCCTCCATGATCAGATTCAGTATCGTAAACGTGAGAAATCACTGACCGGTCGCGTCACGAGGCGAAGTCGGAGTCATCACGTCATCTATCAAAAAGGCTCGCACAACAAAGATCCGGGTATCGTCGAGATGTCATGCTCTACAGTATAAACTGGTAGGATTATGCCTTGAACATCAGCTTTATGCAAGTTTCTCAAGGCTACGATTGCGGTTGAAATTCGCGAAGTCGCCTCCGTCTCACCTCCGAAAGTCAACTGTCTAGAAGAGATTGATTTTTCTAAAAATGTATACATGTGAATCATGAAGTATCCTATGTGCATCAATACTTTCTTTCTTTTCTTTTTGAAAAGCGTTATTGTGTTTCATGTTATCTCTATGTATCCACTCCTGCATGGGCCCCGTTAGGGCCTGCAGTATGTACAAATAAAATAAAATAAAGAATGCCTTTACTCCCGGGTTTCAAGGCCCAATGTCAAGAAAGGGAAGAGCCGCCGCCTCCCTGGCGAAGCCCACCGTCGACCCCTTTTTTATCGGAACACACTGAACTTGATGATGATGATGATGATCATGATGCTTCTTAGAACTAGGCACCTAAGCACTTAGGGGAACACTGACACTCATCTTTGTCTACAAAATATTAAACAGTCACCACGCCCCAGTCAAGGACGTTGACCTGGGCGGTTGTCGGCAGCCCGCAGGAAGTGGTGTGTGTCCTGTGATAGGATATCATAGATTGGAGCCCTTTTCTCATCCACGGATCTGGGGAAACAAGACTGCATAATCAGCCCTTGTGGGATACTTCAGGAGCTTTTTGGACACGACATTGTTATCATGTAGCTCTCTAGTTTTCTCTTATATTTAAATAAACGTCTGTAATATATCTATCTCCCTACTAACGAACCATCCTCTCTGCAAGATGGACTAAACGGGTCCGTTGGTGGCGGCCAGCTACCTACGGCGAGACCCGCCAGATCCGAGTCGCAACAACTGGTGGCAGCGGCGGGATGCCGTCAACCCCGAGTCCTAATAATGTCGAGACGTAAGGCGACACTGAGTTCTTCAATGGACATTACTACCAATGTAGTGAATAAAATTATTGCGATAAAGTATAGTTACCACGAAATGTCATCAATTCTGACGTTGAATCAATGCAAAAAGTGCTGCCATATCCACGAAGTCAATGATGATGAGTGGGCGAAGCTCTGGAGGAAAACCTGGTAAACCATGAATCTTCCGTACATTTTGCCTACTCGATTTTATTGCAATGCTCCCCCTAGCGTACGTCGCCGCACTAAATCGAACGATTGCCTTCCACCAATGACACGTGCCATATGTGACATCTTTCCTATTTTATAACATCTCGCATCTTTCATCATCAACTACAAGTACCGCCATCTAGTTTATAACATCTTGCATCTTTTCATCATCAGCTAGAAGTCCCGCCATCTAGTGAGCACTGAAAGAACTAAACGAGAGGTGGCTACATGCAGGAGACGGTGCCGCCATCTAGTGAACACTGCAAGAACTAAACGAGAGGAGGCGACATACAGGAGACGGTACCGCCATCTAGTGGACACTGCATGAACTAAACGAGAGGTGGCTACATACAGGGGACGCAACGCACAGCCCACGCCTTAAGGAGCTTCGCCCCTAATATATGTCAAGCACACCAAGCATTTGTATACTCACGGGAGTGGTGAACACAACACCCGCGGCGAACATCACACCACACACGCCGAGTACGAAGAGGCAGTAGCGCTTGCGGATCTGGGCGCTGGAGAACTTGTCGAGCAGACAGGTGAGCAGAGCCAGCATCATCTGCTCCATGCGGCCAAGGCAGAGGAGGGCCAGCAGCGCGAAGAATAGGATCGAGCATACAACCGAGCCCGGAAGGCTGGCCAGTGCAGCGGGAATCACCGCGAACAACGTGCCGAACCCTGCGCAAGATGCACCACATCGTCATTTCATTTCTTTTCGTTTATTTAATTTATCGTACGCTTAGAACCAGAGGTGTCAAAAGAAGGGAGTGGTACAATTGAGGCGCATAACATATGAAAATATGAAGCATAATATGAATAGACATACAATGAAAAATTCTTGTTACACAATGTTGGCAAAGCTTTCCAGAGAAACGTCGTTTAGGTAGCAAGTAGCTCCCTTGGAAGCTCCTCCAATTTACATTCTTGTATTTAATGCGAGTGAAGTGGAAGAAAATCAGAGAGAGAGAGAAGTAATTATGCTGAAATGAACTCAGCGCGTGGTTACGCCGAGTGGAGCCCCTCATCCAAGCAGGACACCTCTAGATATAGCAACTTGCCTGGTCTCGCAGAAGGCCGCCTATTTGCTTTCCTAGTCCAGTTTAGTAACCCCACATCCAACGACTAATTATTGAGAGTGTCGTTCAGTAGCGGCGAGAACACGTACGGCTGACGCTCCGTGGATCAGTAACCTGGATGCTGGTGTGTTCAAAGGAAGTCACATCTCGCACATTTGTCGCTGTGTTTGCCGGAAAACATAATAAAAAAGTCCCAGTTTCGCCGCAACGGAGAAGCAGTGAATGCTACATCAGCAACTTAGAATGTAACGATGAGAACGGCTAGCCTATCAAAAGTTGCAGGGCGCTGCTTACGCACAAATTACGCACGTAACTTAATCGCAGGCACAGATATGAGTTCGAATTAACGAGTGTCCCGTTTGTTACTTCACTGTGTGAGAAAAGCGCACTCTTTTCGCAAACGGGGCCTGCCCAGCGAGCGAAGTTGCCTTTGTGGCCCAGGCAACTAACGCAATCGTTCCGGTGAAAGGCAAAAATACACGATTCTCCCCGTGCACCGAAAGAATAAGTGCCCGCACAAACACCTAGCCCATCCCCCGCCCCTATCCGCGGCGCAACGTACGCGTGCTAGATAAGCGCGGGTTGGCGCATCACGACGAGCTGGGTGCCGAGCGGCGCGGGTGGCCTTTTTGTAGCGTTAGCTACATTGGCCTCGCTCAGCCAATAATGCGTGGCACTGGTCTGCACATGCGCATTGATACTTCGCCACCGCCGCGCACGGCTCGCCGCCGGTGTGCGCGCAATTCGATGCCCTGCGCAGACGATCAGTGGTGTCACGCACCGGAGCCGGCACCTCCCTCGCACTCGGCCGCGGCCGCGCGCGACTCGCCGCCGCCGGTGTGCGCTTTCCAGAGGAGCGCCGTCATAGCCTTGGTAGACATATGGACGCCGACGAGCGCGCCTTCCCTGTGCAGTCACCATCTGACTCTGCGCTGAAGCTGCTTGATAGCGCCTCCGACTGGCGTTTGCCACTGTGGTATAGCCATGGAGGAGAGTGCCAATGCTGCTCAACGGTGCAGTAGAGCGGAGAAGCTTAACTCATCGGATACCGAAGTAGTTGCCCGGCAAAATAAATATACATGTGCCACATTATACGTATACCGTGTGTGTGTGTGTCATTTGAACAGCTGTAAGCATGATAAGCAAGCTAATTAGACAAAATCAGGAAAGCTTTCCAGAGGAGTGACGTCATGACCTTGACAGACATATTGGCGCAAGCGCGGGCGCTTCTATGCTATCACAGAAAGACAGACAATTCTAAATACCGTGTTGTGGCCATAGCGAAGGCAGCGTGTTACTTCACTGACCACCGAGCCGTCTTTGTGGCATTAGAGAAGCTACCTGGACGTTGAGCAGAAAATATACATGTGCCACAGAATACGTATACCGTGTGTGTGTCATTGCAGCAGCAGTAAGCATGATAATCAAGCTAATCCTAGACACTCTGGAAAGCTAAGAATAATCAACTGAACCTTTGCTAACGCTACGTATATCTTGGCATAGCTGAGCTAAGCCACAGCCATTTTTTTCTTTCTTGAGTTTTCATATATATATATATATGTATATATATATATATATATATATATATATATTGTTGAGACGTTTATTGGCGGACGGTTGTTGACGATGCTTGACAGTGACAGTCAATGCGGGTACCGACTCTCTGCACGAGCTGCTCTTCTTCTTGCTAAAAAGGGCAACCCACTAGAAGGCGCTGGAGAGGACGACCCACTGTTCGAAGGCTTCACCACAACTACCCCGGGTACGAAGAGGGAGCCGCCTGGCGACCTAGCAGCTGGTTACTATGAGCGGGTCGTGGTAGGCTTTGAGGCGCTCCACGTTGACAATGTCGCGCCCTCGACGGCGCATGTCCGAAGATGGTTCGATGGGTTCGATCAAGTAATTTACAGGGGAAGTGCGTTCGACGACACGGTAGGGGCCTTCGTATTTGGGCAATAGTTTTGAAGATAGGCCAGTTGAAGTGGTAGGGATCGAGAGCCAGACGAGCGCTCCAGGGAGGAACATGGGCGCAGTGGTGCTGGTGTCAGCGCGAATGCCTTTTTGCCGCTCTTGATCATGCGCTGTAAAGGTCCTTGCGAGCTCTCGACACTCTTCAGCAAGCTTGGCTGTAGCAGAAATAGGCGCCCACTCTGACGGATCTGGCTTGTACGGAAGTATAGTGTCGATGGTGTGCGACGGGTGCCTTCCATATAATAAAAAGAAAGGTGAAAAGCCAGTAGTGCTCTGAGGGGCGGTGTTATATGCGTAGGTGACGAAGGGTAGAATGGAATCCCAATTTGTGTAATCGGCGGCGACGTACTTGGAGAGCATGTCGCCGAGCGTACGGTTGAAGCGTTCAGTAAGGCCATTCGTGTGCGGGTGGTAAGCAGCAGTTTTGTGGTGAACAACGTTGCACTCTTTGAGAATGGCTTCGACGACTTCAGACAGGAAGAGGCGGCCTCGATCACTGAGCAGTTCCTGAGGTGGACCGTGTCGCAGCATGAATCGTTGAAGCAGGAAGGAGGCCACATCGCTCGCTGTAGCCGCGGGGAGAGCGGCAGTTTCGGCGTATCGCGTGAGGTGGTCCACAGCAACAATGGCCCAGCGGTTACCGGCCGACGTTAGTGGAAGTGGCCCATACAAATCAATGCCAACGCGCCCAAATGGCCTGGCAGGGCAAGGTAGAGGTTGCAGACCTACCGGCGACAGGTGCGTTGAAGTTTTGCGGCGCTGACATTCTATGCAGGAGCGAACGAATTTCTGCACATAGCGGTACATGCCGCGCCAAAAGTACCGTTGGCGAATGCGCTGGTAAGTCTTCGATACGCCGGAGTGCGCACATTGCGGATCAGTATGAAAGAATTCGCATATGTCAGAGCGCAGACTGCGGGGTATGACTAGTAGCCACTGGCGGCCGTCACCGCTGTAATTGCGTCGGTGGAGAAGGTCGTCGCGAACGGCGAAATGGTGGGCTTGACGACGCAACGCGCGAGTGGATGGAGTGGATGGATCAGTCAGCAAGTCTATCAGTGAGGCAATCCATTGATCCTTGCGCTGTTCAGTAGCAATGGCATGAATGCTAATGGAAGAAACGGCAAGGTGAGACGCTGAGTCGTGGGCATTGTCGTCAGGCAAGGGAGAGCGCGACAGGGCGTCGGCGTCAGCATGTTGCCTTCCGTTGCGGTACAGCACGCGGATGTCGTAGTCTTGCAGGCGAAGTGCCCACCGGGCGAGACGGCCTGAGGGATCTTTCAATGAGGACAACCAGCATAGTGCGTGGTGGTCGGTGACTACATCAAATGGGCGACCATATAAATAAGGTCGGAACTTGGTAAGGGCCCACACGATTGCCAGACATTCTTTCTCAGTGACGGTATAATTAGTCTCGGCTTTTGTAAGCGTACGGCTTGCATACGCCACGACATATTCCGGGAACCCTGGTTTGCGCTGCGCAAGGACAGCGCCGAGACCGACACCACTGGCGTCCATGTGTACCTCTGTAGGGGCAGTAGGGTCGTAGTGGCGGAGTATGGGAGGCGACGTCAGTAAACGACGAAGCGTTGTGAATGCGTCGTCACACTGTGATGACCACGAATGGAGAGGCCCGTTACTACCGAGGAGTTTTGTCAGCGGCGATGCGATAGACGCGAAGTTTCGGATGAAGCGCCGAAAGTAGGAACACAGTCCTAAGAAACTGCGCAGTTCCTTGATGGATGTCGGCTTGGGGAACTCGGTCACGGCCCGAAGCTTGGCTGGATCGGGGAGAATTCCGTCCTTGGACACGACGTAGCCGAGTATTGTCAACTGCCGAGCTGCAAATCGGCACTTTTTCAGGTTCAGTTGCAGACTGGCGTCACTCAGACGCGTTAAACATGCCGCAGGCGTTGAAGATGCGTTGAGAAGTCCGGAGCGAAAACGACGACGTCATCGAGGTAGCACAGGCACGTGTGCCATTTCAGGTCACGCAGGACGGTATCCATCATGCGCTCAAAGGTGGCAGGCGCATTGCACAGCCCAAACGGCATGACGTTGAATTCGTACAAGCCGTCGGGAGTGACGAAAGCGGTCTTCGGTCGAGCGTCTTCAGCCATAGGTACTTGTCAGTACCCTGAGCGCAAATCTAGAGATGAAAAAAATTCGGCTCCTTGCAGGCTGTCAATCGCGTCATCCACACGCGGTAGTGGGTACACGTCCTTACGAGTGATCTTGTTGAGACGTCGGTAGTCCACACAGTACCGCACAGAACCGTCCTTCTTCGCGACGAGAACGACAGGAGATGCCCAGGGGCTGTTAGAGGGTCGAATAACATCGCGGCGTAGCATGTCGTCCACTTGCTCGTTGATTACACGGCGTTCTGTGGGAGATACGCGATATGGACGTTGCCGTAGTGGTGGTTGTGCGCCTGTGTCAATGCGATGCGTAACAGTCGATGTGCGGCCGAGAGAAGGTTGAGAGACATCGAAAGAAGAGCGGAATTCTTCCAACAGGGCCAGAAGCTGGGAGCGCTGGACCGGCGTAAGGTTGTCGGCAATGGAAGGACCAAATACATCAGCGGATGATGAAACAGATGTAGAAACAGCACTAGGCGTATTGGAACTTCGG